CCCGTCCCTCTTGCGAGTGACTTCGGAAGACGCGCAAGTGGGGCCCGACTCAACCACGCGTGGATCGCGGCGCGCGCCTGGACGGGGCTCGCACGTGGTGGCGCCAAGCTAACGCCGCGTTGGCTTGGTCGGGCTTCACGCGCGGTGTGAACCCAACCGTGGCGCGTGTTCGCAGGAGCCCCGGAATTGCAGCCTCGTGTTTGTTGGAACCAACGGAGTCCGCTTCTCGCTCACGGTATCGGGTGGGGTGAGGGATTAAACCGCGGCGGGGCTGCGTGGGTAAGGGTGCCGGGTCGACTCAGCCAAACCGTGGCTTTAGAGCGGGCGGGCGGTGAGAAAAGGGCTGAAGTGGCTGGAGGAAGCCGCAGGCGGCCCTGGGCAGAGCTGAACCACCGGCGAGGCAGCTTTTGCGAGATGCGTTGAAGCCCAGAAATGCCAGTTCTCGGGGCCCACAGTGGTGCTGCCTGTGGATGATGGGGCTTGTAACTCAACGCATCTGGAGGACGCAGTGGGCGGGGAAGGGGGGCAGGGCTTCGAGTGCGTCTGTCTGAAAAGTCCGACCCGTCGCTTCAAAGCCTCGGAAGCGCCTTTTGCCCCTTGGCTGGAAGTTGCAACTGTCGCCAAGGGTGAGGGCCCTCGGGCCACCTGGTGTCTGGAGGGCCCTATCTTCCCCCTGCTACACCTTGCCTCCTTAGTCAGTGCAGATCCCTCCCCTCCCTCTCCAAGTGCCTGTCCTCCCTTTTTGGTAGGTCAACATTTTCACTGTTGCAAAGACCCTGGAAGAGGAAGGGGCAAGGCAGCCTTCTGCTGACTTTTTAAAACTCATCCTGCACTGAATCAGGGAGCCCTCCAGGTTGTGGGGGCTGGGTCGACTGCGCCATAGTTCAGTCTGAGTGGCACCAGCTGCCTTCTTGCTGAAAATTAGAGAGAAGCTGCCTGGGTTCACCCCTGGTTTGGGTCATACCTGAAAACTTCCAGACCCCTCTCCTGCTTCAAGGATGTTCCCTGCCAGTGGCGGGAGGAAATTTTGCATGTCCTCTTCACAGGCTCCTGCTCCTTCTCTTTCCTTCTTTCTTACCCCTACCTTCCTCCTACCCCTTGCAAAGTGAAGAAGGCAGAATTCTGCTTGATACTTTTCACAGACTCTCTGTTGGTTGTAGCCAGCTTTCCCCTCCCCCCAACATCTGGGGGAAGGGAGGATCAAGGTAATCATGGAGATTTTCTTTTCCTACCCCACCTGCAATTCAGAAGCAATTCAGTTTTGTTCTAGAACCTCCCTGCAGCTCATGAAAGATTATCCCTTTTAATAAAATGCATTACTGTAGTCTGAAAAGGTCAACCAGACTCCAGAAAGACTCTTCACCTGGTCCTCCCCAGGATCCTAAAAATGAATTTTCCTCCTGCTGCTGTTGGGGATGACTCTTAACCAGCTTGGGTGATTCTGGTTCGGCTGATACACTTTGCTCATGCTATGGTGTGGAATGCGAGGCCTGCTCTTTCTTAACTCAGTGAAAAATGGGATGGCTGGAAGAGGATGACTTCTTGCTGTTGAAAAGAGGCGTCCTCAGGCGAGGTGCTGGGTTGCATTGCAAGGGTCAGAGATCTGCCCTTTAATACATTACAGAAAACATCTGTATTCTACAGAACAGAACTACCACAGGTTCCCCAACTCCATCTGCTACTTATTTGTTAATTTATATCTCTATTTTGCCCTTTCTCCAGTGCCCTTACCAATTTGGTCCTTGCAACAATACTGAGCACTGACCTAGAAGGAGAGTGATTGGCACAGATTCCCCAAAATTACGGGGGGGGGGGGTGTCAATGAAATACATCAGACCCTCCGTTTTCCTGTTTTATTCATGTAGGAAAGAGGAATCCTAGGCCCTATACAAGCAAATGCTAGATAAACTGGGTGAGGGCAAGAGGCTAAGAGTACATTTTGGTAATGAGACCTCAGATATCCAAAGCTACTCCCAATAGATTTTATTATCTTCTGTGGTGCCAAGCAAAGACCCTTTTATTTTCCTGATCTTTTAATGAGCTGTTATGATTCTGCTAATGGTTTAATGCTGCTTTATATTTTGTTATTTGAGCTGAGTTTCCTTTTTGTCTTTTCAATTGTTATTAGAAGTAGTACACCACCATCAGAAGGTGACTGGCAATATTAAAATGGAATTAACAATCAATTAGATTGAAAATGTTTAGTTTCCTGTTTCACTCACAGATTTTGATCAAAAGTTGGATAGGAACACCCAAGCAATGTTGTCTTCCATGCGTAAACTTCCCATCTTTCTTTCATAGCTTATTAAAAATGTGTTAAGAAAAGAAAAACAAATGAGCTGTATTGGATCTTGATCAGCAGCCTTTCTGGAGGCACTTGTGAATCGTAATTTCCCTCCTGTCTTGGTTTTGGGGGAAAATAATTTTTGTTTCTTTAATATAAGTCAAGAGACTAAGATCCTAATGGGCTGGAAAAGTCTGCATTGGAGTGAAGTCTTATGTTGCCTTGCCCATGATTTGATGATAGCATAATTAATATCTGCTCCATATCTGATGCTTTTGGTGGATCCAATGGTTAAGTCTTTTTTTTTTTTTTCAGATGATAGCAATTTAAGTAAGGCATGAGTTGTGTGATTGGCATTATCTAGGGATCTGAGTACAAAATGCCGTGTGTTTCA